AAGGAAAAAGGATTATGCAAGTATTTGAATCAATGCAGTAAAATTCTATTTGTTCACTGCTTTGCATTTGCTAGGATTGCCAGAGAGTCCCATAGTGAATGGGCACTTGCTTAGATCTAATTGTAGCACTTGATTTGTTTTAATGAAAACATATGTTTAATGGGACATTCCTATCACATTTGAAACAAGACTAGGCATCCATTTTTAAGCCTTGCAATCATGGAAGGCTAGTTCTTAGACCAAGTGAGAACTATGAGTGAAGACAAAGCCAGGCGACCTATTAAAACACTGGTTATCTGTTTTCTGCCACGATGGCATTGGAGGTTGAGTAGATAGGGGCCAAGGAGCCTCTCCTTTTCAGAAGGGGAGCAACTGAGAAGGAGTTTTAAGGAGGCATGTGGAAGGTGCCGCAGATAGGAAACCAATGAACTGAGGGTTTTGAGCCCTTGTCTCCCCCAAAAAACTCATTCATAAAAATGTGTGAAATCTTTTTTATTTATCAATTCTATTCTAGGAAACAAACTTTATTAATAACAGATTTTACTATATCAATTTTGTTTTCATGTGTCTTTTGATAAAGGATATTAGAGAAAAATCTAGAAAAAAGATATAAGGAAGAAAAAATAACTTACCAAAACCCACAACTCAAATATATCTCAGTTTTACCAATTAGGTATATATATTTTCCAGTCTTTTTTTCTTAATGCCAGCATCATTTGAAAGCACTTTATAATCATCAACATTTAAACCTTTTAGCAACTCTATGAGGTAGGTTCTATTCTTGCTTTACAGATGATAGTCACACAGCCTTGTCTCCTAATTCCAAAGCCTGTGCATTTAAGCACTATACTGCCTTGGATGCATATATATAAATATATAAATTGCATATATATAGCACATGTGTATACACATGTGCATATATAACTCTACATTTATACCTGTATTTATGTGTTCGTTTCTACACTCATACCTGCACAGATTTGTATAACTGTACCCTAAATGTTATAACCACACATAGCAATTTATAATTTACATTTCTCACATGTCAAACAGAGGTTCCTAATTAGGTCATAGAAAGCCACAGACTGATGGATAAGAAACGTCACCTGCTGTTTGTTTGCTGTTGAGCTCCCAGAAGGGACTGCCAAGAGTACAAAATCTTGAGAACATCGTCTAACATGAGAAAGGACCGTGTCAGCCCTGACTAAGGTTACTTAAAATGGAAAGGTTTTTGAGCAATAATAGGGCATATCTGGGTGTCTATTGTTCGTTTTTTTGAGCCTCTTACCCCAGGGAAAGGCACTGCAAAGGAAATCCCTGACCAGTGTGAAGATTCTGTGATAGATCCCTGTAATTCCGAAAGCTGACTCAGCAAGTAGACTTGACCTCTCCACTCTGCCCCACAGGGTTGAGCACGGTCAATGAATGCCTTAGAATGTGATGTCTCACTCCTCTGCTTCACCATATCACTCCACAAGGAATACGTCAACTGGGATCCTCGCCATTCCAGTAGCTCAACAGTCCACAACAAACTAATGCTTGTTCTCTTTTAACCATGCTACTTCCAGTTCCTCCTTTATCCCTTTTTTAAAAATCATCGTCACCACCATCATCCCAGTTTCTCCAGAGCAGAAACACACAGACCCATCTTTTATACTCCCTTCTTCACTCTTTCCTCCTCTCTCGTGTATCGAATTTCATAAATTCTTCCTTTCTGATATTTTGGCGTTGGTCCCTCCCTTTACCTACCCATCGCCTTGACCTTGGTCAATGTTCTTATGATGTTCGTATGATCATGGCCTTCGTTTCACTATGAGCAAACTAAAGAGGGGAAGGGGTCGCTATTACAAGTTATTCTTGCCAGGCTTGGTGGCTCAGCCTGTAATCCTGTGCCTTGGGAGGCTGAGGTGAGTGGATTGCCTGAGCCCATGGGTTTGAGACCCACCTGGGCAACTTGGCGAGACCTCATCTTGACAATAAATAAAAAAAAATTAGCCGGGTGTGGTAGTGCGTGCCTGTAGTTCCAGCTACTTGGAAGGCTGAAGTGGAAGGATTGCTGGAGCCCAGCAGGTCGAGGCTGCGGTGGCCGGGAGTGTCCACTGCACTCCAGTCTGGGTGGCAGAGTGAGACTCCAACTCAAAAAAAACAAACAAAAAACAAGTTATTCTGAGGCCACAGGTTTAATCTTGATTGTCCTGGACACACCAGAGGTATGTCCACTGCTTATGAAAGCTCCTCATGCCCCCTCCCCATCTTCCTTTTCCCCACCACATCCCTCAACATAATGGGTGGGCTTCCTGCTAGGGTCTTAATTAAAATCCAAATCCAGGCTTTATGCTATATTCAGAATAACTTCCAGATTCCTCAGTCAGGTCTTTATCATTTGACCCCACCTCAATTCTGTAAGTTCTTCTCCTGCGACTCTTTTCCAAGACCTGCTATCTCAATGAAATTGTGATACTTGGTGTTCGCTAAACATGCCAGGCATACTCTGTCCACCAGTTTTGGGTTTGTACCCTTCCTGTTCTTTGCTACCTTGGAATTCCCATGACTTTCAAGTCCATTCCTCTTGGCACACCAGCTCTAAATACTTAACCATACCTTCCTAGAATCACTTGTTCTACCTTTTTAGTGCTCAGAATATATCAACCTATTCTTTTGTCTCTGTGAAGACATGTAACGCTGAGAATAATTTATACCTAGAAAGAACTGTACAGTTCACAAAACACTTTCTAATACATTATCTGACTTGATCCAACACCCTCCCAAAACAAAACAACAAGAACAACAAAAAATAGAAGGCAATTTTTTGTTCCCATTATGCAGATGAGAAAGCTGGATCCAAAAAGGCTGAAAGATACAGCCAAGGTCACATAGCCAAAATTCTCTTCTCCCAAAGTTAGCAAAATGAATACAATTTTCAAACATTAGCTAAAATATATCAACAACGTTCAAACAAAAGAAGTACAATCTGGTAAAGCAATATTTGAAAGATCATAGCCAGGGAAAGATAAATATAACAATATAGAGCTCTATGAGTAATTTCTCTGTATCTTCAAAGCAGTTCTAGGAGAGAAAAGCCCTTCTAGGAGAGTTGAACAACTCTTGAGGCAATCTGACAAATGCCTTACAATCCAGAGGACAGCACTCTGAGGGGTCAGTAGGCAGCACAGACTGTAAAGATTTCTACAAAATGAGTTTTTAGAGTAGACATCCTGATCCCCTACCATCACAGTAACCCACCTAAGGCAAGAATGATTCCTTGTACGGTGAAGCTTCAGCAGGGGAAGTAAGGACATACGACTAACTTTCTATCAAAAACAAAAGTTTCAAACCTCTCTCCAAATAAGAAATAATTTAAACCCAAGAGTTCCCACTGATAGGACTGAAATATAACCCCGTTTTTAAATAGATAGATCCCAGTAAAAAATCTTAAGTAAAATAGCAGAGCAAAGAGCAGAGCCCAAATTAACCAGCTATGACTACCTATAAGCCCAGCTGAAGCCTCTTAAGCAAAAGAAAAATCCCAGTCATACCCAGACCTTGAACTTTAGTTCTAAGAGAAGATAAACAGGTCTCAGAGAAGATGGGGTGACAGGTAGGATTCACGGATCTCACACCTGAGAAAAGAGATGGTCTAGCTATATTTTCCACACTGCATATGAGAAAGACAAAAATAAATGGCATAGTAACTATACAATCATTTTTTTTCTCATCTTCCTTTTTTTTTTTGAGTTGGAGTCACTCCATTGCCTAGGCTGGTGTGCAGTGGCATGCTCACAGCCATTGCAGCCTCGATCTGCTGGGCTCAGGGGATCCTTCCTCCCCAGCCTTCCAAGTAACTGGAACTACAGACGCATGCCACCACGCCCGGTTAGTTTTTGTGATTTATTGTAGAGGCAAGGTCTCACCACATTGCCCAGACTGGTCTCGAGCCAACAGTCTCAGGCAATCCATTCACCTCAGTCTCCCAAAGTGCTGGGATTATAGGCTGAGCCACGCAGCCCGGCCTGTGCAAACGTTTTAAAAGACATACAAGAAAGAAAGAAAGGAAGGCAAGGAAGGGAGAAAAGTATCAAGCAAAGTCTGGTGAAAAATATCTTCTAGAAAAAAGACTCTCAAGGAACAAAAGAAAAAATCACAACAAACACTTTGCCTCCTAGAAGACATTTTAAAAAGCAGGAGTTAAGTGGACCTTGAACAACTTTCGTAATACTATCAGAAAAGGATTGACAGTAGTGTGAAACTGCGGGGGCTGGAGCAGCGGGGAGGTGGGATTGGCAGTACTGGGAAACTGCCTGGGGAAGGGGGTCACTCCTCATCAACAAGGATACCTGCCAAATGAATATTTGTATACCTAACCCTGAATTGTATGCCACAGTTTTAAAATAAAAAATTTAAAGGTGGAAAAAAAAAAAACAAATAAAAAAAGAATGAGTGTGATGAAAGAATAAAGCAAAAAATGAGAGAAACAGATAGCAGAAAGAATAAAAAAGGGTAACTATGGAGCACAGAGTGCAAAATTAAGACTAAAGCACCACTTCTTGAGAACCATTAAATAAGTTAGAAAATAAAATAAAGATTGGTAAATTTCGTTAAATGCCTTTATAGTATCTAAGGCAGCTTTGGAGGTGATTGCATTTTTTTTTCTCCTTTTGCTAATCGAAGGGTTAATGTCATTAATAAACAAAAATATTTTACAAGCCAGGGAAAAGGTCATTAGAAAAATGAGGGGGAGACTATGAACCAGTTGGTAATATTAAAAATAACTACAAATGGCTGATAAACACATACACACAAACTCAAACTCATTTTAAATAGAGGCACATGACAAAAGTATTTAGTACCCATCAGAGTGGTAAAAATTAACAACTATAATATGTCAAAGTTATTGATGGAATAAGGAACCAAGTCATCTCAAATTGTCAGTGATGGTGTAAATTGCTGCAACTTCATTTAAGGGCATTTTGCCAATATCTATCAAATATTAATTGTACCAATTTTTTTTTTTTTTTTTTTTTTTTTTTTTTTTTGCAGCAGAGAAAGACGTTTAATCATAAGGTTGCCAAATGAGGAGACCATAGAAAACCTCAAATTGGCCTCTCTGAAACTTTTGGGGCTAGGCATTTTAAGGGGTTTGGAGTGAGCCAAGGTGTGGGGATTGCTGATTGGGTTGAAGAGTGCAGGGTGACGTCATAGGATGGCGACACGAAGAAACTGTGTTCTCATGCTGATTCAGTTCCTCCATGGGTGTCTTCAGACTGGTTGGCATCAGTCATTCTGTTGGAATTCAGAATCTGAATCACTGAAAGTAGACCCGTAGAGCTGCAGCCTCTGCTGCCATTTCCTCCTCTGATCTCCAAAAGGCCGGGGAGTCCTCCTCCTCTTTGTCATGTTTCTGGAGCTCATCATAGATGCTGTCATTCCTGTGAAAGTCTCCAGCCTTCCTGGGAAGTACATGGACGTGAACGTGCTTCACAGTCTGTCCGGCTTCGGGGCCATCCTGCACGGAAAAGGTGAGAGAGGTCCCCTGGAAATGCTTCTCCACCACTGTCCCAACTCTCTGGGTCGCCTGAAACAAATCAGCCACTTCATCAGGACGCAGGTCACGGAAGCGCTCCACTGGCCGCAGTGGGCACACGAGGACATGTCCTGGTACCACAGGTTTCCTATTCACAAGAGCGAAGGACAATTCTGTTTTTAAAAACACCACAGAGGGCTTGATGAGATGTTGGCCAAACCTGAAAGACATTTCCTCCAGTTGAAGCCATTTCTAATGCTCTTCATTCCTTCTTATAGATACAACTTTCCATTTGGAATCATTTTCTTGTAGCCTGAAGCAGATGCTTTGGCAATTTTTTGCAGTACAGGTTGGCTATTAGTATATTTTCTTAGATTTTTCTTACCTGAAGACATCTTCATTTCATGTTCATTTCTGAAGTAAGTTTATATTTACTGCTCTAGAAGTCTAAGTTGACAGGTTTTAAAATTTTGTCTGCAGTTAAAATTTGCCATTCCATTGTCTTCTGGCTTGAATAGTTTTTATGTAAG